CAGGATGTGACTTTTAGCTACTTTATTACAGATTGATTTACGCTTTAAGTCGGGACCAGTGGCATTTTCCTAAACGCTCCCCAGAGGGAAGAATTATCCAAAGTCTTTCTTGCACATATCCAGAGTGGCTGCACACATTCGTCCCACATGCACACGTACATCATCTTTCTTTGTCTCGTAACTGAAACACATCAGGACTCATAAATAAAAGGCTTAGTACCTGGCTCGGTATACACGCAATTATAGATGCTGTAGGTCACAGTGCGTCGTCTGTATTTCTCCTGTTAGGTTGTGTTTTCAGCTCAGTTTTAAAATGGAACAAAAACAGCCCTGAACTACAGGAGCATGTAGCATTTGATTTGACAAAGAAAAATCACCTGGTTTTCTTGCAGTAACAAGGTCTTTTGTTATGATTAGGAGATATTTTCTTTATTATTACAAAATCTGCTTCCATTCTGATGACAAATGACCTTGTAATATGTATTTTTTTTTTCATTAGCATTTATTTTGAACCTTACAACCCTGTTGTACCGCAAAAAACACACAGATGCAAATATTTCTACCTTGGCATTAACAGCGTTGCTTGTTCAAATCTACTAAATTACTAACAATTATGACATATAATCGATTTGTTAAAGACCTAAATACAGTAATCAGCTTTAAGCCAAAATTTGCATTGATTTATGTATGATCCCAGATCAATCTAGTAGAGTTTTCTTAAATGAGAATGTGTGTGAATGTGTATGAAATACTTCTACCATATTGAAGGGTTTTATACTAAACTATCAAACCTTTATGTGGGATACTTCATATGCCTTATGATGATGTTAAATATAATGATTTTCATTCTAGTATAATTTTATGTTTCAAATCAGGAGCCACAATGGAGCGGCCTGCCAACACACAGTTCTGTTAAAGGTTAAATTTACTTCAGTCCATTTTACTTTATTACAAAACTATTTATTCAGTGTGGGACAGTCGAATGGAAGTCATTAAATATGCAGTCAACGTTAAACATTATGTAAATAATGTATTGTATTTTTCACATGACAGCTAGTAGAGTACAGATGTTTTACATTTACATATTTGTCACAAAGTGCAGAATGTGGGCAGAGGTCAGATGTCAAATGCATATATGTATATTTAAAATAAACTCATACACTGTATTTAATTCTTTATCTCAGGCCATAGAGGTAGGTTCTCTTCAATTTGTTCAAGTCTGAGCTACTGAAGCCGTCTCTGTCTTTTTTTCTTTCTTTGCCTGATCCTTTCTCAGGGCACCACTGAGAGTTCAAATCTTTAAGACCTCCTCTTTTCTTCTTCCAGTGATTTTGGAGCACATGCTGGCAACACCAGAGACAGATTCTGTCGCTTTGATTGGTATTTGAAGAAAAAGATAATACACTGTCAGTAAACACTGTTAAAGGTTGATAACACCTTTAGCCGCCTCGTACAGTGCAGTGTTGTCCTTTCTCCTCTCTGCTGTGTCAGAGTGTGCGTGATTTTAGAACATGAAGATTATTGTATGTCCAGAATGAATTATGCTTACAGCCTCGAGATTACAGTACTTATGTCTACAAATTATCTACACTCACCTGTGTCCAATATCTATCACCTGTTGCAACATGTTGTCACCAGGAAATTCAGTCAGGTAGTAATCCAGGTTTCGCTGTCTGCAGCCATCTCTGCAGAGAACGTAGAATTGAAGACTTTACCAACATAAGTCTGGTGAAACAATTACCAACCACTGTATCAAGTCATTAATTTAAATGGTCAGTAATTTGTTTGGTGCAATGTAATTGCACTGTATTAACTGCTGATCAGTTAACAGCAACCGAGCATGGGGTGTCTGTTGTTTCCAGATGTTAGGATGTCTGCTTCCTGCCTGCAGATCAGGTTTTCCTAACATGCATTATAATGAAAGATTTTCCCATGTGAAGAGATCAACATTACATCACATTTAATTCAACACTGCAGATGTGTCTATGTTCAGAGCGACTGCAGAAAACTGGAGATTGTCTCTATAGGAAACCGGGTTTTGCATTCAAGTGTTTTCCAGGCCAGCGAAACAAACAGTTTTGGATCAAAAGAGCTGTGTGCTCTCCAGGGTGGCAGACTTGGGCTGGCCCCAGAGCAGATTTCATGCTATTCTGGACGGCAGAAAACCTGGATTCTATTTCGCTCATCAGCACTTTGGCAGAGTTCTCACAATTGCAAGTTTGTGACAGCCTCCATTAGGCCATCGATACGACAGATATTGTGTCGTATAAATCAGTGTTTGCATCACTAACTGAGGTGATGACAGAGCTCGGGCCTGAAGCAGATTAGTCCCACAGCCTGAGCCAGAATTATTGATAAATGGCACAATGTGAGCGAATTGGGTTGTTTCTGCACGGCTCTAGAGTTGAGCCCTGTAAATGTAACAGATGAAGGACTTTCTGATTAATATTATGCATTTAAGGCATCTCCTTAAATATTCATTATGCAGGACACTTCCTAAATCTCCACCGGCGGCTCAAGCTCCGCCTTGAGCTCTGACACAAGCTGTAGTTCAGAACGAGCGTATCAAATTTCATCAGCTCGCCTGTAAATCAATCACAGCCTCAGCCGCTCGATGAAGGGGGCAATGGAGTTAATGCAGCGAAGGCAAGGGGCAAATCCAGAGATTTTTAGCCATTATCTACAACGGGAAGTTTGGCCGTGCATGGACTTTTATTTTCCTTTTTCTTCCTGGACAGTTCAAACATCACTGACTGATGAACTCTTGCGAGTGCACTAGTTAGGTGACTTGCTTAAGGGCACATTTAAGGTAGTTGCTTTTGGAAAAGGGGTGGGGGGG